GCAGCTTTACACACAACTGCCAGTCTGCATGGAGAGGATCTTGAGACTCCAGTAGCTTCAAACACCTGTTTGCTGCTCAGCAGTGTTTTTTTTTTTACAGCTGGCATTACAATACAGTTCAATAGTTTGACAGAAACTTTACTTAATAAATCTTTATCTAACCAAGATCTTCTGTGCTCTAAGTTACTCACATATCTTTTGACAGTTCAATAATCTCTATTTGCTTTTTGCAAAATATTATTTGGTTTGATGCCTTTTGCAAAACATTGCATTGTTTCATACTTTTCATCTTCAGAAAGATCTTTCTTCCTCACCATATCGCCTGAGAACTGTGACTTGCTTAATAATGTGGAACAACCTCTTTAAGTAGGGTTTCCATTTACCTAAGAAGACCTGGCAAACTATTGAACAAACCTGTCTGAGATTGATACCAGTTATCTAAAAAGATGTTAAAAACAACAAACAAAATTCTGACTCTTTATTGCACAGAAATCCTATTGATATGTCACTTGCATAATAATTTGGAACACAGTGTATAATTTTTGGTACTATTATATCACATTATGTGTGTAAGCACCGTTTGTTGTTTTCTTGTGGCATCTGATAGAGCGTTTGGACCCGAAAGGGGTGATGGATGACGTCAGACTTAACACACAAATTGTGAGTCTTGTGATTCACACCAAACTCAGTCAACATGATGCCAAGACATTGAGGATGCTAAACTGTGAATGGACTTTAGATATCCTGAAAAGTGTTGCCATGGCGAAGGATTAAAATAATGGCAAAGAGGGGAAACAGGAAGAGTGTCATATTGTCTCATAAAGTGCATTGTCCAAACTTCTCAATACTTTGTACATATGGAGAACATTCTGAGGAAACATGCTGAGGTTCACTGGCAATATAGTTTTATAAAAATATTTTACAAATGCCTTATAGGTAATTAAAATCAATTAAAAATGTAGCGGAGTCATGCTACAACTCTATATCACGCTGGTTGAGGCGGCCACATGTAGAATCAGAGATTGGAGAAGGGATTCCTCACAAAGATGCATTTATTGAACAGTCTTTGTGTTGTCATCTGCTCCAATTATTCTTTGGCAATGATATCTGTATTAATGGTCTAAAGTAGGGCTGTCCAAACTCGGTCCTGGAGGGCCGGTGTCCTGCAGAGTTTAGCTCCAACTTGCTTCAACACACCTGACTGGAAGTTTCTATGCCTAGTAAGAGCTTGATTAGCTGGTTCAGGTGTGTTTAAATGAGGGTTGGAGCTAAACTCTGCAGGACACCGGCCCTCCAGGACCGAGTTTGGACAGCCCTTATCTAAAGGAACAATAAAGAAATATAATTACAACCATATTCTGACAACCATTTTCACACTGACATGATAATCAAACATATACAAATAAAGACTGATTAGACAATCAAGTCTGCATCCTTAAAGGGTTAGTTCACCCAAAAATGAAAATTAGCCCATGAATTACTCACCCTCAAGGCATCCCAGGTGTATATGACTTTCTTCTTTCAGACGAATTCAATCGGAGTTATTAAAAATTGTCTTTGATCTTCCAAGCTGTTTAATGGCAGTCAGCGGGTGTTGCAGTGCATCAGTCCAAAAGAAGTGAAATAAAGCGCATCCATCCATAATAAAAAAGTGTCTCACACGACACTCCGGGGTGTGAACAAAGTCCTCCTGTAGCGAATCAATGCGTTTTTGTAAGAAAAATATCCATATTCAAAACGTAACAATCACTTTAATCTAGCTTGCGCCAACAGTTGTACACGGAAGCAGCTCTGGGAGGATAACGTAAGATGTCAGCGTTGCGCATTAATAACAACCTAATCAATGCAAATAGGCATGATATAGTTGTGCAATGACGCGTTATTATTGTAAGCACATTACACAACACATATTATTGTACTGTGACGCAGTATAATATAAGCTACTGCCAATGCTAATACTAATTAGCGTGTTTCTCTCATGGCAAATTCCTAGAACCAAAGACATACTTATAGACTCTGTGTACAATTATGTGTGTCTGTTTCACACTCTTGATTTTCTAGAGCAGTGGTTCCCAACCCTGGTCCTGGAGACACCCCAACACTGCACATTTTGCAAGTCTCCTTTCTCTGACACACCAGTTTCAGGTCTTGGAGTCTCTACTAATGAGCTGATAACCTGAATGGTTGATTAAGGAGACATGCAAAATGTGCAGTGTTGGGGTGCCTCCAGGACCAGGGTTGGGAACCACTGTTCTAGAGCAGGCATAGGCAACGTCAGAGTGCCTGGAGTTTAGCACCAACCCTAATCAAACACACCTGAACCAGCTAATCAGTGTCTTCAGGATTACTAAGGCCAAAGCCACTAGAAGGCAAGCCTGCAACCTTTAGCCAAAAAAAGGGGTAATGGCTAATGCTAAAGCTTCCGGTTTGCCAGTACGTGGGAAAGGAGACCAGAGGCCGTTTTTTTTTTTGTTGAATGGAAGCAGGCATAGGCAACGTCAGAGTGCCTGGAGTTTAGCACCAACCCTAATCAAACACACCTGAACCAGCTAATCAGTGTCTTCAGGATTACTAAGGCCAAAGCCACTAGAAGGCAAGCCTGCAACCTTTAGCCAAAAAAAGAGGTAATGGCTAATGCTAAAGCTTCCGGTTCGCCAGTACGTGGGAAAGGAGACCAGAGGTCGTTTTTTTTTTTTTTGAATGGATGTCAATGGGGGAGAGGCTTCACAACAGCTTTTTAGAGGAAACAGCTTATCATTTAATGAATCGACAGCCTATCAGCTAATCTCCAACATGTTTGACACTAAGCAATACTTTTGGATTGAACTATTTTTAGAGTTTACACAGAAAAAAGTGCAGTTTTATAAGAGAAGTCACTGACTTTTTGCGACAGGTGGGATACAGTTTACGGCATTTTTCATTCATTCCTATGGTATCCGTAAACAGCGACTGAGTGTCGCACAACTCTTTCTGAAATTCAATGACGTCAAGGCTATAATGTGATTGGTTATTAAGGCACACGTGATCCAAGTTAACTGTTATGCTTTCTCCAATAGACCCTTTTTGTGCCAACGTCACACGTCACAGGATTAGCTGGAGGCAAAACAAAGGAATAACTGGAGGCGGCCAATACAAACCAGCACAGAGTTGGCTACATTAGGAGCTTAAAATGTCATATTTGAGTGTCAGAATCGATGGAGTACAGTCTCCAATTTGAAATTTTATCACATACCTGCTGCCATTGCCAGACAAAAAACCGACGACAGCTGTAATAAGACTGGACTGGACAGAAACGATCATCAAAAATGCTTGCGTTTGCAGTGCACACTTAATATCAGTTAAGGTTAAATAAACTGTTGTCATTTATGGATTATGGTTTGGTTACGAGTCTAAAGATTTCTCATGCATGCCCACCTAATCAGAAATTGGGGAACAAGTTAGCGAACGACTAGTGCCTTAACAAAAAGGAAACCGTTTGTGTCCTCGCACTTTCTTCTACAATTGCCATAAGTGCAGTTGTAGAGAGAGGGAACAGTGAAGGCCCATGTTATGTGTCAGGTGTGTGTTCAAGTAGTTGCATTTGCTTACAATTGCCACTGTTAGTACATAGTCTAAATATTTATATGCCCTCAATTTCTATTTACTATACACGCTCGGTTTCTCTATCTGGTAGGTGTGTCAGGCCACTCCTGTCAGATTTTTTAAATGGTAAAAAGTTCTAAGAAGATTATTAATAAAATAAATAGATGATTAGTGTCTTTACCACCTTCAGGTCACCTAGAAATTATATGGACATTCAGTCTAACAATGTATGGATGTCAAAGCATTAAATAACAAAATATCAAACCAATAGCTTTATTTTGTTAATTATGATAAAAGCACTAGCAAAGTTTGTTTGCGAGTTCTGTCTGATTTGATATTTTGTTATTTAATGCTGTGATAATTGTGTGTGTGTGTGTGTGTGTCTGTATCTACAACATAAAAGTTTGTTCATGAACAGATGTAATTATACACATACTCATGGGGATTCTTTTTCCTGACCTCCACTTGTCAATGAGTTCTTTTGAATTTCAAGATGTGAGGGAAGACAAGCATTTTCTTGCAGAAATGTATAATCAAAGTAATTGAATACGAAGTATGTTCAGAGTGGAGAGGGTGTGAACAATGCTAGGAAAGGGGCTTGTATGTTATTTAATCCCTTTTTTAATTTTCATTCCAGAGTTTCTTAAAATGATGGAGAACGTCCAGTAAGAAAAAAATACATTCCATCTTCTGCAACCCATAATGACAGCAGCCAAGACTCTCAAAAACAACCCATGCTGAGAGCTTTAAAAGAAAAGAGGATCGAGGAAACACAACATCAACAGGGTTCAAATCGCTAACAATAAAGATGGTTGGAATTCACTTTGAGGGACAGAGAATATTATAGATCAGTGCCGTCTTGTTGGAAATGTTCCTCTGGAACTGTGATGGTGTCTATAAATATCCCTTCAAACCTTTTAAGAGGAAACCACTCACGCCTCTCCCCTCAGCTGTCTTCTACTACACCAGCTTATTCCCAATACATTCACCAACCTTCCTTCAACCCCCTTCCCCTCTCCCTCACCCTTTACAGTGATTCAAAATAACTCTGCTACAGTATTAGCCTTGGGGAAAGACTTGATGTTGTCATGGCGATAAGGAATCTCTTTAGCTTACGGTATTGGTGTCTGCAAATCAATTAAAAAGGCACATCTTGGCCAATCTGCTTGTTTATTTGGCAATATTTTACTGTGATTGTATTATCTAAAATTATACAGAATCTGTGTGTAAATAATTTACAGCATTAACATTTTTAAAAGTTAAATGCAATTTCATGCCTAAAAAAGGTTGTTATGAGGCCAAATATCACAGTTCTATAAGCTGCAACTCATGTGATCTTCTCACCCACCCTGCCCATAATGTCACTACACCCAATCAGAAAAACAAGATCATCCCACCATATTGGTTTCCAGTACCCCTTGTCCAAAATACACAACACTTTGGCCGTCCAGTAGATCCATAGTGTTGTAGATTTTATTGATCTTTTCGCACGTTGATCTCTTCCGATATTTTTCATACTTACCCTGCCTACAGGACAGAGTCTTCACATGGCCAGAAAAGGGCATGAAAAATATCAATTTTTCAATCCTAAAGTCAACCTTTTGTGCCTGGAGCATGCAAGTTATACATATACAAGATTTCCATGTTTTCTTCTCATAGTGGAAAGCCATGTGATCCTTTTGACACCTCGTTGTCTTCAGGTCATATTGATGGAGGTGTTATCTCATGCCAATGCTACAAATGCAAATCTCCAGAGTTGCAATATGCAAAATGTAAAACTGGACTTCTCCGCTCTCCTCAAAATCTCCTTTTAAATCACTCCATTTCTGCCTGAACGTATATAGTCTGCAACCCCCTCCTCCAAATTCCCCTACATCCTTCTCCAATCCACATCCGTATCATTCCTCGCTCAGGAAACACATCCCATTCAAGGAAACTCGGGGTTAGTCTCTCGGGGTTTGGGGTACCTGTGTCGCCATTTGTGTTGTTGGGTTTTTGGTGGGGTGGAATGGAGTGGAGATCTAAACCATTTGCTATTCAGGGCACGCTGAAGATTTGCAACACAGCACCTTCCCAAGAGGTTTAGGGTTTCTCGGCTTGACTAAAGGGGGGTGGTGCAGAACACTATCAGCTCTCACCATTTCCATCTGAACGCTACTTATATTAAATCATTATGAGTCATTTTAGCTCATCAGTATGTTACTTCTCAAATTTAGTAGAAATTTTGAGGGGAATTAGTGAAAAGCAAAGTCTCAGGACAAAAGTCTGCAAGGATTTCATGCCTAAACATTAGTGTGGTCGACATTAACATGCAATTTCCACAATGAAATTTTACTAGACACAATAAATAATTATTCTATTGTGTCTTTGAACAGTTCTTCCAATAAATACAGCCTTTCTGACAATAAACACAGCAGAATAAAGAAGAAACCTTTTTCCTGTATTCCCGCAGACTGTTCTTAAAGTGTACTCAATTCACATTTCTATTGGCTTATGGGAGCCGTTGAACCCTAAAAGTTCAGGATTCTAAATCTGGAGGCCTGTGGGCGGGTCTTGGGTGGCCTGTTTAAAGTGTGTCAGAACTGTCACTTGACGTCTAGTCTTTCTGTTGGGGTGTGAGCGCGTTTACCACTTCTTATCTCGTGGATATAAGTGAGGAGGCTAATCCACAACCATGGTAAGAGTTTAAATAATCTATACGGTCAGTTTTGCTAAAGAACGCATGAAAACATAAAATGTGCAAATGGCCTAGTTAAAAAGTAATCAGAATTCCACCTATGTCATTATTAATAATGGGTAATATAAGGTTACAGTATTATTAATAGTTCCCTTGCAGTTTTGCATGCATTTAATAAAGCGTTATAATAATAATAAAAATAAGAAATAAAAATCAACCTTAAGATGATTTAATTTAGTAAATTTTTTTGATCTGTTTATTGTCTCTTTTACTCATTTTTATCAGACAATTGCTGTATTCTGGGCTCATCTTCGCCTGAGTGGAAATGTCTGATATAAACTGAGAGTAAATTTATTAGGTGTTATTTTTAGGTGACTATTATAGATTCAAATTGAACTGACTGCTAGTTAACTTGTGTTACAAGACCAAGGTTTCTCTCCAAAAACAACTTCTAAAAAAAAAAACTCTAAAAAACAAATGTCATTACACTCATTATGATAAATTCATCACACATTGCAGCAAAATCCACTGTAAAGTTACTCATTGCCATTTTTTCTGATGTAATAATGTTTTTTCTGATGTAATAATTAACATGGATAAAAATAGCTTGAAGGAGTTTCATTATTCCAAGATATCAAACCCTGAAAAATCATCCATGTATCTGTTAAAATATGCGTGTTTGGGACGGTGGTCAGAAATCAGTAAGATGGACATCCTGCTATTTGATATGAATCTTGTCAGCCGGTTAGGTTAAGTGGGTTAACTAAATCTTGAGGTGACACATTCCAAGGATCCTATTTCGGAATTACCATGTACAGTCACTGACTGCGAGGATAACATGTTGAGCCTTAAATTAGTCGCAAATTGTCTTGCAGGAGTGATCTGGGCACCATCTGCTGTTTGCAAGGCCTACAACGCTGTCTTAATGCATACATATTAGGAAAACAAAAACAAATGACTCTCCAGAAGAATCAAGATTTATTTTTTATCAGACTAATGCTTTGTACTGTTTATATCTGAAACTAACCTTTCCTAATGTAACCGCTTCACAGACTGACGCGCAACAGGAGGCCCGCTCATACCTGAGCGAGGAGATGCTTGCCGGTGAGTCTACAAGCAAACTGATAAAAAAGAATAGATTACCAATATCCGAGTCCTTCGGTTCCTTTAAACCGTATGCGTCTATTTCACAGAGTTCAAGGCTGCCTTCGACATGTTCGACACCGACGGTGGCGGTGATATCAGCACTAAGGAGTTGGGTACCGTCATGAGGATGCTGGGTCAGAATCCATCCAGAGAGGAGCTGGAAGAAATCATCGAGGAGGTCGATGAAGACGGTAAACAAAATGCCAGTTGAAAAAGTGGATACACAGGACTATGTAAGAGTATGGCCAGAAAAATACTCTACTGAAGCTCATTTTCGTGCGTTCTTGCGTTTTGAAATGCGACTACGCGTTGCATTCTCAGCGCTGCCGCAAGGAGCGCTAAAGTGAAAATTGGCGTAAATGTCAGTTATTTCTTTCAGGAAAAATACTGTCATCATGGCGGAGCAACCGTTTAAAAAGTATCTTGCTAAGAAAATAAGTTAAAGAGCAACTTACTTTGAATATTAAAATCCTGTTTAAACGCAAAAATACATTGATGTAACTCTATCGCCCCCTTCAAGCCGATAGAAGCAAGCACGTCAAGTCTGTGTTTGCTTGTTAATCGTCTGTCTTGTGTAAAGTATGTTTCTGGCCTACATGATGATGTCTACATACATTTGAACATAGTAATGATAATATCTGTTTGAATTTAAGCATAAAATACAAAAATGAAGATTGTAATAGCCAATGTACTTTTTACTGGAAACTATAGGCAGCGGATCCATCGACTTTGAGGAGTTCTTGGTCATGATGGTGAGACTCCTAAAGGAGGACCAGGCTGGCAAGAGTGAGGAAGAGTTGGCCGAATGCTTCCGCGTGCTGGACAGGTATGTCATTTGATATCTTCTTGTGTACACCTTTTTTAAAAAAAAATGTTATGTTACCCAGACTCACTTCAGCTTATGCAACACTATGAATCTGCAGGAACGGTGATGGCTATATCGACAGAGATGAGTTTGCTGAGATCATCCGCAGCACTGGCGAACCCATCTCAGAGGAAGAGATTGATGAGCTGCTTAAAGATGGAGACAAGAACAACGATGGCATGCTGGACTTTGATGGTATGATGGTTTATTAATTTCATTTCATTTATGAACACTAAATACGGTGTATGTGAAGTTAGATCAGCTATTGAAGCAACACCCATATCCCTTTTTCCTCAGAATTCCTCAAGATGATGGAGAATGTGATGCTTCCGCGTGCTGGACAGGTATGTCATTTGATATCTTCTTGTGTACACCTTTTTTAAAAAAAAATGTTATGTTACCCAGACTCACTTCAGCTTATGCAACACTATGAATCTGCAGGAACGGTGATGGCTATATCGACAGAGATGAGTTTGCTGAGATCATCCGCAGCACTGGCGAACCCATCTCAGAGGAAGAGATTGATGAGCTGCTTAAAGATGGAGACAAGAACAACGATGGCATGCTGGACTTTGATGGTATGATGGTTTATTAATTTCATTTCATTTATGAACACTAAATACGGTGTATGTGAAGTTAGATCAGATATTGAAGCAACACCCATATCCCTTTTTCCTCAGAATTCCTCAAGATGATGGAGAATGTTCAGTAAAACAGAGACTCAAGGACATTCCTCTCCCCTCTCACCCCTGCCGACTGAAATCTTTACCTCTCAATGCAACTCAAATTCACTTTTCCCCTTTTGTCCTCTTTCTGCCTCCATCTCACCTCTTCAGAAGACAGACAGATAAACACCTGTGTGGGGTTTGCCAGGGTTGGGCTCCCCTCATGCAAGACCCAAGGAGCCAAGCTGTGGTGTGGTTCACAGGTTCATCATGTTATGATGGTGCTCAAGTTCACTAGAAACACATGCCATGGTAGACCCCATGTTTGTAGGTGTTTAGTCTAGATTTAATCTAGATCCTCTTCAGAAGACAGACAGATAAACACCTGTGTGGGGTTTGCCAGGGTTGGGCTCCCCTCATGCAAGACCCAAGGAGCCAAGCTGTGGTGTGGTTCACAGGTTCATCATGTTATGGTGCTCAAGTTCACTAGAAACACATGCCATGGTAGACCCCATGTTTGTAGGTGTTTAGTCTAGATTTAATCTAGATTAGCAGCTTGTTACCGCTGCATAGACCAATGCCAAATCACAACAGCCACTTCACTATATTTAAGAACAAACGCTTGAAAACAGAATAAAAAATAAAACAGAAGTTGTTTAGTTGGTCTGACATTTTGATTTGTATGGTTTTGTTTTGAGGAGTTTATCAATTAAACATTTTTTTTTTCTCCCGAGTCTCTGACCCCAGTTAGTTGACTATTTCTGTATATACTAAAGACTATAACTAGTACTGTTTATGTAGCAGCAAAACCCAAACCACAAACTTTTATGAATATCACAGTGATATTTCATTTATGCCAATATGGCATTCAGTTTTATTAGGCATGCTGTAGGAATAGCTCTCTTTCTCTATTGCACATTTACATTTTCAACATGACGTTCTTTGTGTGCTGCAAGTGTGTAAATCAGTAAATTGTGTCTTGTTTATCTGGTCAATGGCTGATGAGTATTATTTGCAAATTAAAGGGTTGCACACTAATAATGCAAATACAGCTGATGACTGAAAGTAGGTAAATTACACATCCCTCGTCTTTGTGACATTACATACACTGGGGAACAAAACACTAAATGTTGAAAGAATAGAATATAATAATAATCTTGCACATTATTAACATGTCTTAATGTGATTTACACCTGCATGTCTACGTTATAGTTAGAATGCCTATTTTCCCTGAAAACTGAAAAGTCAGCCTCCCACTCCAAGTGTACAAACATCCAAAGCAAAAATCCCAAGATGTCCCCAAACGCCATGCATTAGTTACATTACTAATGCAAATGTGTCTATGTTTTGTGTGTAATTGTGAAGAATTATATCAGGCAATATTTACCAAAGCAATTAATTTTACACTTGCATTAACCCTTTAATTTGCAACAACACTGTGATAAATGTATATATTTTTCTTCAGAATATTTTATAAAAATAAATACATAAATAAAAGGTACAATGTAAAATACATGGTCTTCTCACAGCATGATATAATACTTATAAAAGTATCTCCCTGGATACAAAACATTTAAGAGTTTAAAAAATGATTGTTATATAGTTTATATACCAAGTTGTTATTAAGGATATTATACTAAGGTTGTTGTACATGTCATCTAAGAAACAGCCATGTTTCTTCAGATTTGTAAGGTGTATGGATATACTTTTCAAAATAATAATAACAACATTAAAAGTTTAACAATGTATCTTTATTGTACAACTGAAAAAGCCTTAAATAATGATAGAAATGACCATTCAAATTAACTGTGAACCGTCAAGCAACTGAAACAACACAGAGCTGTAAGAAAGAGGGCTAGGGTTTACAACAAGTAGCTAAAACTCCATTAAAGGCAACAATAAAACAATCTTTCTTCACGTGGATTGCATGAACAACATAGCAACAGATGGTCTATTTCAAGACCCATAATTTGCCTCGTCAAAGGCTTTGCGAGCCTTCTTCAGCTCCTCGTTCATAGTGAGCAAGTCCTTCACTCTCGCAAACTTTCTAGGGTCCTTGCGGATGAGAAACACAATGTCCTCCACCTGCACGCGACCCTGGCGCCCTATAGACATCGCCTTGTGTGTCATCTCCGTGATAAACTCGATCACCAGATCCTCCAGTATATCCACTGATTCGGTGTAGGGATTTTGGTCGTCTCCAAACCCATACATCATGCAGCGAAGCTCCTTGGAAAAAAGCCGCTTTCGTTTACCTTGGCCCGAGTCTACCCCGTTACTTCCGTCGTCTAAATCCTCATCAAAACCAGGATCATCCTCTTCCTCAGCCATTCTTGACACGAAACACAATGTGCTCGTTAGAAACAGTCATTGAAAACACAGGAGTCAGATATTCTATCTTAGAATCGACTAACAGGAACAGTGTTTATATAGAACTTACATGGGGAAACCGGGCAGGAACAAACACAAAGCACCCCAACCAGCAAATCCAATGACAGGAACTACTGTTCATTCTTTTACACATAACGCGCCACTGAAAGGAGACATTAAAACCGTCAGCGACCCCTAGAGTTCAGGATGACGAACGAATTAAAGGGTAGCGCTGGAAAGTTCGAATCATTTCCGTGACGTGGTTCTTTCGAACAAATCAATTCAGCAATTCTTTTACGTCACAACGCTCCAAATATTCCAATGAAGTCAACAGGAAACTATTATTGTTTATCTTTTTTATGTTAATGGTTGTATTAATCTATGTGTACTATTCTTGATTTTTGAGCATTAATAAAAAAATAATTAAAAATAAATAAATAAAAAAGTCAACAGGAAACTGGGCATCATTTTGCAAACAAATGTCTTTATATACTTTGAATATATTTGGTATTTTTATGGTGTACCTTATCATTTTATTTGGTAAATATAATGAAAACGTTAAACTTCTGTTTAATTTGATTTTATATTTTAATTTATTATATTTTTCTCTCGTTCGTAAACACTGTGGTATTATGTTGTTTGCTATTCGGATGTCTTGCATTATGTAAATTATTTGTGTTTTATCTTTAAATAAAACAAAACATCCCAAAAAAGTCATATGTAGACACGCTCTCTTGATGTTTTCTTCTTCTTCACGTGTTCATCAGTCAAAAGTTCACTAACTATCAGCTCACTCAGTTCTCGGAACAAGTCAGTGGTGATTATATATTACTACAATGAGCTGAGCTCTTGACTCGAGAACCGCTCAAGATCGCTTCAGTCCGATTCGTGAACGCTTTGTTCAGACACCGGTTTCAGCAAAAAGATTCGACTCAAAAGAACGAACCGAACAGCGCTAAAACATAGCAAACAGTAACTCTTCTGCTATCTAGCGCTGTTCTCAGTGGCTTGGGCATTTGGTGTGTGTTTCTTGCACACAATACGAATCAAGCCAAAACTTTAATTTCAAAACATCTTGAGTAATATGTGCAAAAGTCAAGATTTCCCGGGCTGCCGCCGCGCATGTGTCAGCAGGGCAGCGTCCACGTCACAGCAGAGGGAACTACACAGGGCTGTCTGTAGGCTCACAAACAGTTTTGAATGGCACCCTAGGGCCCTGAGACGACTCGCGTATCCAAATGATGGTTACATAGTGTTTAATGCTACCAGCTTTTCGTTTTCGAGGACTATGTAAACAGTGAGGTAAGAAAATGTGGCCACTGACCTTATAGCTACTGGTTAACGTTAGCTGTAAATGGCACAGTCGGCGTGCTCGACCTGTCACAGCATCAGCTGAGCTAACGAGGTTTTTAGGGCGTAAGACAACATTTAAGTTAGATTTGAAAAAAGACACAAGAGTTTTTTGCGTAAATGGCTAACGAAACGAAACGTCATAAGTTTCAGCCCACACTTTAACAGTCATTACGCACGTGCTGTTCTGTTACAATATGTTGCACTTTTCAACAAGTGCCTCTTTGATCAGTACGACACAATCGACTCGCGCACATCAAACTTTGGCCCTACATGTTCTAATCAACCTACTTTAGATTTTGATTTTCCACATGTTAACATACTTTTGGTCTAGCTCTGGTTAATTCGTATTACCCTCCTCTTTCTGACTGTTTAGTTGTCCCTTGTCGGATCCGGGTTTTCCAGGATGGCGTGCCCGACGCAATTCATCTGCAAGGCGCTGCGCTCTGTGGGCCTGGTGCTTTTCTACTATGTGTTTTCCATCGGCATAACATTCTACAACAAGTGGCTCATGAAGGTGAGATGTAGATCAGCTGGGTGAAAGCTTGCCTGTTCCTTGAATTTAATTTTGTTTGTTTGTTTTGGAAAGGGCACTTATTTTTGTCCATTTGGTTTGTATAATGTCTGTTTTTATCTCCGTTTTCTCATCTGCCTCAGGACTTCCACTTTCCTCTGTTCATGACGCTGGTTCATCTCGTAATCATTTTCTGTTTCTCCACACTGACACGCTTTGCCATGCAGTGCTGGATGGGAAAGCCTCGAGTGACCCTTCCCTGGAAGGTTTACCTTTCTAAAGTGGGCCCAACAGGTAAGAATTTTTTGTGTGTTTTGGGGGGGGAAAAACGCATCAGTGAGTCCGAAGACCATAAAATGTGTTTGAATGTGTGTCATAATGGTGGCTGAGGAGATATAACCCGTTATCTTTTTCTATCCAACACACAGTTTGGGTGGGTGAAGTCCACACTGATCTGTATAATGTCTGTTTTTATCTCCGTTTTCTCATCTGCCTCAGGACTTCCACTTTCCTCTGTTCATGACGCTGGTTCATCTCGTAATCATTTTCTGTTTCTCCACACTGACACGCTTTGCCATGCAGTGCTGGATGGGAAAGCCTCGAGTGACCCTTCCCTGGAAGGTTTACCTTTCTAAAGTGGGCCCAACAGGTAAGAATTTTTTGTGTGTTTTGGGGGGGGAAAACGCATCAGTGAGTCCGAAGACCATAAAATGTGTTTGAATGTGTGTCATAATGGTGGCTGAGGAGATATAACCCGTTATCTTTTTCTATCCAACACACAGTTTGGGTGGGTGAAGTCCACACTGATTGAATCTAGAGAATCTAATTGATCTCTGCTTGAATATTCTGGAATCTTGTCCATAAGCCTATTATTCATGATCAATTCATGTTCAAGTTTTAGCACAGAATTATTTGTGCTGATTATACTTTGTATTAAAGTGAGAAAGTGGTTCATCATTATATCTATACAACTGTTTGTCTGTGTCCATCAGCCCTGGCGACAGCGCTGGATATTGGACTGTCCAACTGGAGCTTCCTTTTCATCACTATTAGCTTGTAAGCATGTTACTATTATTTGGATTTTATAGTGCTTGCAAGGCAGAACTTTACTCTTATTCCTCAAACAAAAAACATCCCTTAACCTTAAGTGCTATAGACACACAGCTGTAATTCAAACATTTAGTAGACATTGGTAGTCTTAGATGTGCTATCTGTTTTTTTAAATGACATATTCAGATGTGATTGTGCAGTCAAATATTGTGTGTAATGTCTGTTAAAATTATAAAAATGTATAAATGTGTATATTAGTGTTCCTGGCAACCAGTTTCCTACATTTGTCTCATAGGAATCGTTTTGTCACATAATCAGATAAATAATTTTTACCCACATATCACCTTCATAAATGGTTACAGAGAAGAACACGAAACCAGACTTTCAAGTAGGGCTGTGCAAAAAATCAAATGTGATTTTCATGCGCATCTCATCAGTAAAGCCGCTTCTGGTGATTAGTAGTAAATCTCCAGCACGTGCGTTCAGATGGAGGGGCATTTACTACACAGAGCCGTAGGTCACTGACAAGCTACACAAAATCGCAGGCGATTCATTGCCAATTTTGAACGCAATTTTGTGTAGCTTGTCAGTGATCTACGGCTCTGTGTAGTAAATGCTGCTCCATCTGAAAGCACGTGCTGGAGATTTACTACTAATCACCAGAAGCGGCTTTACTGACGAGATTCGCATGAAAATCACATTCAATTTTTTGCCCAGCCCTGCTTTCAAGCAATTCCAAACACAACAAACTCACACAGAAACATGCACCTTGTTGCTAGGAGATGCATGATATTAAAACACTATGGCTGCGTCCGAAAGCTCTAAAATGCTGCCTTCGGAAGGCAGCATTCCAAGGCAGGAAGGCATCAAGGCACGTGTGAATCCAAAGTTAGCTTCACTTCCTGTCTCATGAGATACCTTCATCTGATCGATTTTTGAAGGCAGCATAAATGTATCCTTCGCTGCCTTTGATATCCCACAATCCTGTGTGTTCCATTCTGTGACGGTTGAGCTAAAAAAATAAAAATGTTGCTGCCTCAGAAGCCTGTCTGAAATCCATTTCATGAGGTGCCTTCGTGCAAAAACTGATAGAGCAGCAAGTCAGCTGCCTAGGCTTTCGGACACAGCCTATGTTCTGAAATCGGCTCAAAATATCAAACATATTTGATATCCTCTGACTGGATGAAATCAAAGCAAGCTTAAAATATCTCTTGTAGGTACACCATGACCAAGTCTTCAGCCGTTCTCTTCATTCTGTTTTTCTCTCTGGTCTTCAAGCTGGAGGTGCCGGTAAGTGTAAAATACACTTGATTCTTGAATAAAGGACTTAAAGTCAGCTATTTCATGCAATAAAGTAAAGTATTAGCTGTTGCACAGAATAAAGGCCATATCAAGATGCATTGTCCAGTTACCCATAGACAGCAACGTGCCGTATTTCATAAGACATCTTTTTATGTGAACTTTGCTGAACTGAACTGCTCTCTCTATGTGTCCATATAATCATTATAATCATTGGATGTCACTGCTGGTTAACATGTAGTTGTACTGCCCCCCCAACCCAGACCAGAGAACAGCATGTTATAAAGTGTGATGGTTAAAGTACACTAGACATTTCAAAGAGAGTGGATTCCTACTGTGGTGATGGATGATGAAGTATGTTAACAGCAGATCGTTAAAAGACTGTTAAAATGCTGTTTATTAAAAGCTGTGAGTTTTTCTGAGAGGTCACATTGTGAGACGAAAAATTTGGGAACTGCATGTGAGATGTTAAGTTGATTTTACCACTTAGTGTGTTTGTCTTGATAGGTGTTTCTGTATTTGGCTAAGCAGTCATTTGGGTGTCTCGCCAATGTAATGGTTAAAAAGACATTCTTTTGCTTCTAACGTTTTCCCTTAGTGAACAATTAACATGTAAATATAGCCAAAGTCACTGCACAGCTTTTGTCTTTATCTTATGTCTATGGTGATTTTGTCAGATGACTTCTTGATTATAAATCAGGATTTCAGCAGCTTGGATGTCACTGCTGGTTAACATGTAGTCGTACTGGGCCACGTTTCAGTCACTATTTCATATTCATTCTGTTGTCTGACAACATAAACAGAAAAAAAATATCTAAATGAGAACAGCTTTATTGGGAATTCAGCTGTATTAAAGTACAGTAAGTGAGCACAGAGTAGAGAAGCAAACAAAGGGCTGACACTAGACAGAATGCAAATATGACGTAATGATGCAATGAATATGCTAATTAGAACATGTAGTTTAGCGACTTTTTACAGGTTTTGGTACTTTCCATTAAAAATAATTGGCAACAGTGATTTCACAGATCACTTGGTTATATGGGCCATTTGGTTCACACCTTTACAGACACCGAGAGAGTTGGAGAGAGTCACAGTCAGGGTTTGAAAATGAACTTTTTTACTCACCAGACAATTTGGCTGCTAAATGTTATCAGCCATTCAGAATTTCTACTAGCCAAAACAAAAGATCATAAACCATAAAATAAATAAATAAATCATAAACAAAATTATTATAATTGCTGCTTTTGAATGGCTTTCATTTTTACAACACTCTTTCATTGCTTGCAGATACCATAAAATAAAACAGAAATAAAAACAAAGTTCTCTGTGAATTTTCTTATAAAACAGCATTCATTTCAGTGTAATTTCCAAGTACAGCTCACTCCTAAATTAATGCTTAATGGTAAACACTTTGAAGACAGGCTGTCAGTTCATAAAGTGTTCAGCTGTTTTCACATGAAAGTCAGCGTACTGAATTCAGCATATTGAAACCTCTCCTCTATTGACATCCATTCAAAAAAATATTACTTTGTCAAAGATTAAACAAAGTGGTGTTTGAAAAAAAACAGTGCAAACTGGAAAGAGAAAGGTTGATCTATGTTATTATATTTCATATGAAGCATAGACTATTAAAAAAAACATCAGACGTAAATATATCCTATCAAAAATAACTCAAATTAAACAACCTTTAAGCCTGGACAGCTGGTATTTTGTCATACATTACATAATATGTATGTTTATAGTGGTTATTAAACTAAATAAAGAAAGAGAAGGAAAATAAAGCAGTGTTTCATAAATGCATAAAAGCTGTACGCTGCCTCTCCAGTTTTGGTACTTCAAAATGTTCACATATTCTGGGAGTCGTGCTGGAACATTAATGGCAAGCAATCAGTAAAACATGCAGTTGCCAAGCCATTAGGTGATTTAAGAAAATCAATTGTAAAACTAACAGGAGGCCATTATAAACCAGTCCATGATTACTTTTGATTTTAGCTGCATTAAAGACCCCATTAAAAGTCATGAATGCAGTTTTGTTTTCTGTGTTGATGTGTTTCCTCGACTTGGTGTTTGTTGTAGTAATGTGTGCTGCCTGACTCTTTTGAATCTAACAGAACCCATTCCTGATCCTTGTGGTGTTGCTGATAACTAGTGGTCTGTTCATGTTCACTCTCAAGTCCACTCAGTTTAATCTGGAAGGTTTCATTATGGTCCTGTTGGCCTCTTTTATTGGAGGGATCCGCTGGACTCTCACTCAAGTGCTCATGCAGAAAGCAGAGCTTGGTAAGTCAACATGTTATGTGTGTTGGTTATATGGTGAAGTGGTGAATTCTCGTGACTCTTATGTCCTTCTCTTTGCCACACAGGCCTTCAGAACCCCATAGACACTATGTATCATCTGCAGCCTCTCATGTTCCTGGGCCTCTTTCCTCTGTTTCTTCTTAATGAAGGTCAGTCAGACACCAGTTTTTTTTAATGTATTAAAATATATGAAAATAAATATATTTTATAATAAAAACATTTCACAATATTACTGTTCTTACTGTATATTTGATCAAATTAATGCAGACTTGTTGAGCATAAAAGACACATTTTTGAACAGCAGTGTAGGTTCCATAGTCCTGGAAAATGTGGAAATATTAATGTTTTTCAAAACTGATTGTGAGGCCTGGAAAAACAATAGAAATTAATACAATTTGAAAGCACCGTTATTTTGTATAAATAATTTTGTAGAATCTAACAATGTAGATTTTTTTTCTAGCTATGCTCAGTTCTTAAATAATTTGCTGCATAGAAATTACTTTTATGAGTGTGATCTCTATAAAATCATTAAAAAAAAATCCTTATCTAGTCATCACAAACAAATACAAAAGCCATTCATTGGTCAGAATTTTTTTTCTAGATATGAATCAACATTAAAACTTTGCCTGATGTTGAGAATTATTTTTATGTTATGACTGATAACTGAAAAATTGGGCGATATTAAATTTGAATACTATATAAATATATGTAAATTAAAACATGAAAAAGTAAAAATCTAATAAAGCACATAAATAAAAATAAATAAGCACACTTAAAAGCCGGCAGATGACGATAAAATAAAATCTAAATATGATCACATTTTGTAAGCCCCAAACTGTGTTTGTTTCTGTATTTTTGCACAAATGTGTCGGCATCCTTGAAAATGGTCAGAATTTGAGAACTGTAGATAATTATTGGTGCTTCCATAATTAGATGTCCTCTTTTCTAACCAAAATGCAATGCCTGTGCACTTCAAAATAAAATTAAGGGTCAAGTAGCATTCATGCCCACAAACAAAAATAGCAATCCACATATAGCTCCCTTCTGGTGCAGAACTACATTCCCTTTCTTATTTGTTTAAAGGTGAAGTGTGTAGCTTTGAATGTTAAAATATTCCTAACCTAAGTGTGCAGAAATCAAGCATTGTGTTAGGTCAGACAGGCCACGTCAGTCAAGCTCGCATCAGCTGATAGTCAGCTGTTCCTGACGTGTACCAATCCAGTTTTGACACTTATCACAGCGGTCCATTTAAATTCCCATTCTCTAGCGTCTCTTCTATCGCATCGCTGCGCGCAAATCAACTCCCTCCTCCAACCCCAACTCCACCTAACGGAACCTTTTTTCCTTTTCTTCGTATACAGTTCACTATATTGCAAGCATTCTCTTATCATGTATTTTGTATTTTCTACAACTCCTGTAAATTGTGAATTGTAATTATGTATGCAATGCATATACTGGATCTGTTCTGTACCCCAGGGGGGTTTGACTTGCTGCTCTCCCCGCTCCGTCCAAGCATGGCTGCATGGACAGGCGTGGGGAGTTTTGCCCAGAACAGAACCATACCGCCAACACTAACTGTATGCTATATTATTGTAATAAATATACTTTGACGAAGTGGTCCTGACTGAAACAAACATAAGTATACCATTCGTTTACATATTACCGGTAGTTTCCTAGTGGAACAGAAATGATACTTTTAACCGTTAATTCCGATTATGAAATGATATCTCATTATAACTGTGTTTTCTGAATGTTAATGCTGGTACTATTATATGGTACCTATAATATATCACATTGATAAGACATCAGTAAATGCATCCACAAATAATTTATTCTGTCTTGATTAGTTAGGATAGCATCTGAAATACCTTCAGAAAACACACAGCTTTTGTTTTGTTAGTGAAATGTCATCTGCATTCCTAAAAGTCCTAATGGGACCAAATTTACAACCCACTTGCTAGAAAAGTGTGTTGAAACCCCACAAAACAATGAAAAACCTGTAACAGTGCAGAAACACTAACATTTTAAACTCCTTTTTTAGCCAAAGGATACTGATTTTTTTTTTTTTTTTTAAGGGAAGGAAATTATTGGTTAACAGCACAGCAGAAAAGAATAGTCTAGAATGTAAACTTGTTCCCTGAGGCCATTGTGCAACACTATGGATTCCCTAGACAACTGCACATAGGCCTTGGTGGATGTTGCTACATTTGGGAAAGAAATTTGCCTTTAAAATGCCTGGAATAATTTATGTGTCCTCTCTAGGCCTCTTGATATCTCTGTCATCCCTAGAGGATACATGCTGCGCATGTGCTTTCCTCACTGTTTTTGTCTGAGCAGTTGGCCGCACATTTGTTTACTTCTGGGCTGGTGGTGCTGCTGTGTCGGCCAGAATGCTTTCTTTTGCTTCTGATCCACTGCCAGTTAATGCAGAGCATGGATATTTATTTGTTTCCACACTGTAAAAATGTTACCTTAAGAAGCTATTTCTACTGAATTTCACCCTTAAAAGGACTTCTATTGCTTTAATCTAATGCAGTTAATCGTCATATATAATAGTAATAATTATAATAATAATCATTTTACTTGAATTCAACATGTTAATTTAACAACAGTAATAATATATTACAATATTATAATATTATATTAAAAATACGATATATTTTTACTTGAATTAAATCTAATCTGTCATAATTTTTATACCTGATAAAAACATTTTTTTACAGTGCATGAAAGTCCCTGCTTTTATAATATAGTACTATTGTGAAATAATATTTTTACAGTTTAAAATTAAAACTGATTTTATATTTTACAATTTTCAGTCTTCAGTGGCACATGATCCTTCAGAAATCATTCGAATATGCTGATTTGCTTCTCAATAAATATTTCTTCTTATTATCAATGTTTAAAACAGTTTAATATTTTATAATATAAACTGCTTAGTTTTGTTTGTTTATTTGTTTTTTTTTGTGGAAACCATAAAACTTTTTTTCAGGATTCTTTGTTAATTAAAAAGTTAAAAAGTAACAATGTAGAAATCCTAACTGTCAGTTATAATCAATTTAATGCATCCTTGCTAAATAGATAATAATTCTTAATAAAGAATACATTTTTTAAAATGTCTTTCTATCAAAAAAAACAAAAAACAAATCTCACTGATTGTCATGATCAACATCGCGTATAGCAGTCATAACTGGTTGCTCCAGGGGAGATTAAATCATCCGCTGCTCTGTGGAAACACCCACATTTTGTCTCCTACACATAACAGGAACTGGATTCCACTGAATCACAGCATTTGAGATTTAGAAACAAAAAAGCACCTGTGTTTGTCAGTAAATAAATCAAACAGATAGAAAAGTTACTTATTTTTAAAAGAAACTTGAATATTATGATGTATTATCACCTTATTAAAAATTAATAACGAATTGTAAATTTAAGCCAGACATTATCAAGGGCCTTTCTTTCTTTCTTTCTTTCTTTCTTTCTTTGTAGTGCAGTACATTCTTGTCCCACTGAGTAAGCATTCAGAACAGGTGAGGAATTTTTGAGCAATGATTGAATCAGGATAGTCATAAACTTTGCTCATATCTCTTCTTTCTGACTTCTCGTCTTGTTTTATTTGACCACTTTACATGTGTGTCCATATCTTTAAGTTAAATCCCTACACACTCTCCCCCTCTCTCTCACACACACACACACACACACACTCTCCCCCTCTCTCTCTCACTCACACACACACACACACACACACACACACACTCTCCCCCTCTCTCTCTCCGTGACACACAGACACACACGCAATCACACACTCTCTTCCCCTCTCTCTCTCTCTCTCTCTCTCTCTCTCTCTCTCTCTCTCTCCGTCTTTATCTTTGTCTCTCTCATCTACTGTTCCGCCCCGTGCTCAGTTAGGTGAGTTCAGACAGGTCTGCTGCAGTCTTGAGAAAGTTCACACAGCAAAACAAACAGCACACATGCCCACAGTGCTCCAGGCAGAGACAGACAGAAATAGAAGTTCATGTTTTACAATAAAATCTCACACACTGTGGTCTTCTTTGCAATTTCTCACTGCCCATTCTCTATATAAGTATAATAATTTACTGCTCTTATTTTCCCTCGTACCTTGAAATGAAAACCCACATGCTGTGCCTGATTTCGAAGTCTGCGCCTTCCGGTGGTTGCGTTTGTCAGTCGCATGCGTCATCAAGTCTGTCTCTTTTCAGAAAAGCAACATTTATATTCCAAAGAAAGACAGAAATTACTGTAATTTATGCCTCACAAGGAATTATATTCAATTTTATAATGGTAACTTTTCTAAAAAATATGTTGATGTATGTGGCCAACAAATGTGACCTCCGGAAGGCACAGCCTTCAAAATGTGTAACGGCAATAATCACTTTTCACAAGTAAATACTTGATTTTAGTTTTGATCACATAAAATTACTTAAAACTGCAATTCACCTTAATTGAATTTTTTGTTACATAATTATTTAAATGATTACATTTTTGTTTTATATATATATGTATATTTTTTTTTTATAATTTTTTTTTTTTAAATAGATGCACTCCTAATATTTTTTTAAGACAAAAGCAGTAAGTTTTTTTTTTTACGACCATTTTCCACCCTCTGACACTTAGTAAGCTGCAGGTTTGCTGTGCAGTCAAAAGTGAACTGTATTTTAACCCTGTCATTCAATTTCAACTTTGCAAAGCTGCATTACATTATGACGGGTTCACAAAATAATCTCAGTCTCAAACTGTTCAGACTGAAATGATCAGGAACATTGCAAATAGTACAATAAACCTTTTTATATAAAAAAATTCAAGCGAACATCCTTAGCTCAAGCGATGGCGTGAGTTTGGGATGGGACTATCTGCTTCTCCATCCAATAGAAGTGTTTGGTGATGCTAGTGGCATATAAATTACACACACAAACTGCTTTAAAGGGGTCATATGATGCGATTTCAATTTTTCCTTTCTCTTTTGAGTGTTACAAGCTCTTGGTGCATAAAGAAGATCTGTAAAGTTGCAAAGACTAAAGTCTCAAATCCAAAGAGATATTCTTCATAAAAGTTGAGAGTCAACCACACCTACCTAAAACGGCTCGTTCTAACACGCCCCCCACATGTCTACGTCACGATGTGGGAAGATTTGCATAACGCCGCCCAAATGTTCACGCAAAGAAAGAAGGCGTAACTCTGCTCACTCTAGCCCTCCGACCTTTCCTCACTCTAGCCCTCCGGCTTTTCCTCACTCTAGCCCCCGGCCTCTGCTCACTCTAGGCCACCGTGTGTGACGCTGTGTTTCGTTGCGAAAGCGAAACTACTTTGTTTGGCTTTCCAAAAATGAACACGACTAGAAATCAGTGGTTAAGTTGTATTTACAACACTGTTCCAGAACACTTCAACCCAAACATTCAGATGTGTGCAGCATATTTTATGGAGGACTGTTTCCTGATCCTGGTAGAGTAGACTACAATGCCGGCTGTTCTGACTCACAGACTGTAAGTACGTTTCTTTATATTTAAAGTGAGCAGTGTAGATTAGGGCTTGTTGTTTGTCATTTCTCCGATCACAAATGCAGACATGGTTTTATGTTTACGCGGCGCGATGCAACGCAACGCAATGCGTAAAAAGACAGTATAAATCATTATAATCCATAATTATGTCCCCACTGGATGCAATGAATGCCTCGTTTATAATGGGTTTTCATGTTTTTGAATCATCGCTCCGGCTTCACAGGGCATCACAATATGGTAAGGGGTGTAACATTTCCGTCACACGCTTGAGGTATTCGGCCAATCATAACGCACTGGATAGCTGGCCAATCACAGCACACCTCGCTTTTCAGACCGATGAGCTTTGTAAAAATCGAAGCATTTCAGAAAGGCGGGGCATAGAGGAGAAACTATAATGTACAGTATGTGGAAAATAATGTGTTTTTTTTTACCTTAAACCGCATAAACACATTTCGTTACACCAAATACACAAAATAATATTCTTTTTAGCAACATCATATCATGACCCCTTTAAATCTAAATCACCCTTTCTTGCTCTTTTCCAGAGGTTCCTCAGCCAGAGCTGATGCTCACTACCATACGCGGCCGTGCAACAGTGGCAGGCCTGGACCCCAGACAGGAGTATCTCCTCCAAGTTATGGTGCTCAATGGGACACAGGAGAAGCTCATTGCAAAAAGACGCTTCACTGGTAAGAGTGGAGGATTAGAGGATGTTGCTATGTGGTTGTGAATGTGGTTAGAATTGTCCTAGGGTGCTGTTCGGTGGTGTAAGTTACAGTATGCCTTAAAGTTAAATTCAGATTAGAGGTTTCCCTTCTGATTTGTTGTTGGAGGTGGGGGATCTTCCCAAAGTGCTTTTTGTGCACAAGAAGCAGAAATCTGTACGTCGAAGTTCCCAGCGGTCATAAGCTGTCAGCACAAAGTTCCAAAGTACAGAAACAATCCCTTTTAACACATTACATACTCCACACACACACACACACACACACACACACACACACAGACAGTGTTCAAAAGGGAACTGTCTGTAATTGACAGTGTGGAATGGTGGATTCCTGCTGGATTACAGCCTGGGACTGACACTTGTGTCTTTACAGGCACAAAACACTTTTGGAATTCCCTTTAAAACACATCAATGTCCCACCAAAATGACCTCCCTGAAAGAAACCTGATATGAAATGATGAAATACCTGACTTAGCATTCAGATTTCACTCCAGCTGTAACTGCTAAAATAAGAATGTAAATACCAGTGATAAAAGCATTTTGTTATAGGAGATCAGATTTTATTCCATAATAGCCTGGTGTTGTCATTGTCAAAAGATGCAGACTATGCCAAACATCTGTGATATGTTGGGATGAAAGGTTGGAAGAGTAGGTTACTGTGTCGCCTCGTGCAGGTCTGGACAGGCCAGTTGTGTGGTTTGGCTAGAGGGCCATGCTTGCTTGTCTGAGGGGGATTATTTCATTGTTCCCTCATAAAAGCCTAAGCAATAACTCAGTTTTTCCATGTGGATCTGCTTATATGTCAGAAAGGTGTTAATAAAATGGGGCTTAAACACTTGTTTTATATTATAGGATTTACCTAATAAATAAATCAGCAAAAATAGTTTACACACACTCTTTCCCTGTTCATCATTTCCTCTCAGTCGATGGGTTGCGTGAGGATGAGCTGATCCGTAGTGGGAACAGAGAGCAGAAGAAAAAAACTCACTCCATTGGTTCTGGATCTGGAGAGGTGGATGACGTGACTGAGGCTCTAGCGGCCTTTCCCACTGTGCTCTACCGAGAACCAACGACTACAGGTAGAGGATCTGCAAACATTGTCTGCCAGTTTCCTAGGAGTTAAATGCTTGTCCTGAGTTAAAAAGTTCTGTTCTGAAAGTCTAGATGGCGCAGGCTGATGGGTTGTTAAAGCAAACTGATTATATTCACAGCGTTAAACTATTTGGCACAAGCTGATTGGTTCATGTTGCATACGCAGCCAATGAGCTTACTGCTTTACATTTAAATGGCTGGTTAGCTTTCACTAGAGCATTTCCCTCCACCCTTCCCCTTCCCCAGCTCCACCTGTATAGATCTGCTATGAGTTATTATATACAGTATGCTACTTGTGCAGCAGCAGTATATCTTAAATACTCACAGCACCGTATCGGGGTATGTATTGGCAGTAGCAAATTCCTGTACTTGCTTTGCAGCAGCAGCAATAATCTATAACAAAAGCAATAACCAACAGCAGCAGCAGCGTAGCAGATCTGTTCCACCAAGACCAAATACATTAACATTGTCATATCCATTACAATGCTAAAATCGTCTGAGATTTGTCGTGATAGAACTATGTATGTATTTGTCAATGTCAACACAATCTTTTGGGAAATAGGCTTTTAAAGTTTTATATACTGCTGTTCAAAAGTTTGGGGTCAGTAATAAATATGTTTTTAAATGAATAAATATTTGTATTCTACAAGGATTCATTGCATTGATCAAAAGTAACAGTAAAGACATACATTGTTGAAAATAAAATTCAGATAAATGTTGTTCTTTTGAAATTTCTATTCATCAAAGAATCCAAAAAAATTAAGTCAGAATCAGAGGGAGCTTTATTACCAAGTATGTTTACACACACAAGGAATTTGACTTGGCGACAGGAGCTTCCGTTTCACTGTTTCCACAAAAATATTAAGCATCACAACTGTTTTCAACATTGATAATATTAAAAATGTTTCTTGAGCTGAAAATCAGCATATCACCATGTCCACACCGGAATAAATTACATTTTAAAATATATTCAAATAGAAAACCGTTATTGTAAATGTAATTATATTTTGCAATAGTACTGTTTTTTCTATGTTATTAATAATAAATGCAACCTTGGTGAGCATAAGAGAACTCCTTCAAAAAAAAATCTTACAAACCAAAAACATTTGAACAGTAGTGTATATTTCTTAATATTGTGTTCTAGGCATAATTCTAGCGATTATCACGTAAAATATGTGTTGATGTTGATATTTTATAGGTAATACAGTTTCAGTATTTTTAGATTTATGTTACACTCTAAAAAATGCTGGGTAGTTTCAACCCAACTCTGGGTCAAATATGGACTAACCCAACTGTTGGGTTAAATTTTTACCTTAAATTTTTAACCCAAAAGTTGGGTTAGTCCATATTTGACCCAAAGTTGTGTTGAAACAACCCAGCATTTTTTAGAGTGTAATAATAATTGATTGCATTAAAGTATTTTTAGTGTGAAAGCTCGGTGTACACCTGCTGTTGCAGTTTTGGCTCCAAGCTCCATGTGTGAAACAGTGTTACTAAAATGAAGTATTAACAGCATAACATTTCTTAGTGACAAACCAAACATACTTTATAGTTCCTGCCCAACTGGGTGTACAAAGCAGAGGAACTCTGTGCTGACCTTCCGTCCCGTAGTCTCTCTGTCATTATCAGGGTTTTACTGGTGGAGCTACAGATGGTTGAACTGGCGCCAGCTCTACTATCTAACCTATTAATAAGAGTCCATTCATCCCCCAAATGCCTGTAATTAATGCAGCTGTAATGGAACAGGAGACTGGACAAGGAGAGGAAGCTGCCCAGCTGTGCTGAGTGTGCATTTAGAATGAGATGGAGTGTAGGAATACTACAGACACCATCAATCGCTATTGTTACTCATCTAACTGTCAGTGATTTTTTTCAGTCAAAAATTTCAAATATTCTTCAGAAACCAAACAGTAACCAAATTAACATACATTTTATTTAAGCTTTTGATGTCATCTAACAGATTCTTTTTTAGCTGCAGTATATTTAGCTATTTATCTTTAACTCATAATGTCTTTCTACTCCTATAGAGTCTCCTGCTGTACCTGAGCTTGAGCCAGAAGTTGACAGAAACACCAAAGAAAAGAAAAAGAAGGACAAGAATCGATCCAAGACCGAGGATAAAAATGATCAAGAAGAAAATGGAGGGAAGTCGGTGAGAGAAGAGGTCACCATCACCAACAAACCGAGAAAAACCACCTCAACCCAAACTGTCACAGGTAATGCCACTCACATTTCAGATTAATTAAATCAATCAGATGGTCAAACAGTTAATGAAAAATCAATCCGTGCTCATTGTTATTGACCTCATATGCAAATATAAATGTAAAATGCACATTGACTGTGTTAGGGTCGGTGTTTAACAGAGTTAATGAGACGGGTTGATGTTTCCGGTGTCTGTGTAGTGAGGGCTAATAACAGAATTAGGGACAAAACAGAGTTAATGACACTGTGTAGGTTGTTATCAGGGCCTCTTGTGTGCCCTCAGGACTGAAATTTGTTCCCTCCTTCCTCCCATCTGTAAAAGAAACACACACATAGGGAATGCACCATTGAGGAACAGTATATGTATTGACAAATAGGATTTTGCAAAAATTGTTTTGTATAAGGAGCAGAGAGGATTGCAAAATGATTTCAGGTGTGAAAAGACCTGTGAATACCCCTCACAGCAAAATATAACTACAAACATGCACAGTCTAAGAGACATTAAAAGACATTCTCACACTCAGTTTAAGTTCCACTGCTTAACGCTTGATGTTACGCTTTATTAAAACGGCAGTGTGTTGACTCCTGCCCATGTGTCTTAAGCTGTTTCCACACGAAAGCCGTTTGAATGCAGTGCTGGAGCTCAGGCTGATCTGGTCCTTCTGGTAGACGGATCCTGGAGCATCGGCCGCACAAACTTCAGAAAAGTGCGTGACTTCCTGGAGGGCCTGGCTGTCCCCTTTCACATTGGACCACAGGGTGTGCAAATAGGTGAGATGTTATTTCATATCATCTATATACATTGTATATGCATTGCAGTTTCAAAGCTTAAATAAAAAAAAACTTAAATATTTACGTTTATACATTACCATTCAGTTTGGCATCTGTAAGAAATGTTATTAGAGTTTAAAATAAGTTTTTTTTTATTTAACTATAGTTTAAAATGAAATTTATTCCTGTGAAGAAAAGCTGAATTTTCAGCATCAGTCTTCAGTGTCACATGATCCTTCAGAAATCATTCTAATACGCTGATTTGCTGCTCAAGAAACATTTCTAATTATTATCAATGTTGAAAAGAGTTGTGCCGCTTAATATTTTTGTGGAAACTGTAATACATTTTTTCAGGATTCTTTGATGTATAGAAAGTTCAAATTAAAGGATCAGCATTTATTTGGAATATAAATATTTTGTAACATTATAAATGTCTTTACTGTCACCCTTGATCAATTTAATGCATCCTTGCTGGTTAAAAGTATTAATTTGTTGTCATTTCAGCATTATCTCAGTACAGTGGAGATCCACGTACTGAGTGGCATCTTAATAACTTCACCTCTAGAGAGCCGCTCCTGGAGGCCATCAGGAACTTCAGATACAAGGGAGGCAACACTTTCACAGGTAACTGTAGATATTACACCCAGTATATTTCTTAACAATCTGGGATTAATAAATGTTCTAAAAAGGAAGGCTCAGAGTCTAATTTCTTGTTGGATGAGCCATATTCAGAGTCGTTGGACAATGCAGATAAATGCATCCCTGTGAATGTATATTGTCTAATAATGTACATTGCTAGGCAACCTTAAAGATAAGCATTTACCTGTAAATATACCTTCATATTTTAGTTATTGGACTGATACTGATAACATTAACAAGCTACAAAAATTACAGGCTAGAACCAGTATAACCAATGTCATGCATCCTTTAATATCTATTGAACATTTATGTTTTTTTTATAATATTGTTGTTGTCACCATTTATAAGCAATTTTTTTTACAACGGTAAAGAGGGTTTTAGGCAGTCTGATTTGCATTATATCCAACACATCTTGTTCACTGTAAAGTTACTAAAAGCACAGCATCTTCTGGCTGCTTGTTTTTTGTTACCTAATAATCTGAATCCTGTTGACTTAATCCTATATGAAACCAATACGAGAGTTTTTCTGCAAATTTGAACATCTTCCCTGTTCATTTTTAACATTATAATGCCATTATTTCAGGCCAGGCTCTCATACATGCTCTTGAGAACAATCTGAAGAAGGAGGTGGGGGCACGACCCAACACCCCACAGTTCCTGCTGCTGCTGACTGATGGGAAATCTCAGGATGATGCTATTGCTGCAGCCAACAGGCTGAAGAATGCCGGCATAGAGATCATTGCTATAGGTGAGAGCCTCTTTTAGCAAATTACACATTAATTGTAATGAATTTCAGAGGTGCCTTGTGAAGATGAATGCTGTTTGCTAATGAATTCGCAACAGTTCAAAAGTTTAGAGTCTGTAAGATCTTTTTTTATGTTTTTGAAAAGTCTCTTTTGCTCACCAAGGCTGCATTTCTTGGATCAAAAATATAATCAAAACAGTAATATAGTGAAATTTTATTATAATTTACAATAACTGATTTTTTTATTTGAATATATTTTAAAATGTAATTTATTCCTGTGATGGCAAAGCTGAATTTTCAGCATCATTACTCCAGTCTTCAGTTTTACATGATCCTTCAGAAATTATTTTAGTATGCTGATTTTGTGGTCAAGAAACATTTCTTATTTTCAGGATTCTTTGATTTATTATTTAGGGCATTTGTGGCATAATGGTTGGAGAGTCAAATTTGTTAATCGCAGGTTCGATTTTCACTACTCACTGCTCCTAATGTGAGTGCATTAACTTGGTCGTTTAAATGCGGAGGACAAATTCTGATTATGGGTTTCCATACTTGGCCTTCATTTCACATTCACGTTGAATATAAAGTTCAAAAGAACAGCATTTATTTTAAATATAAATCTTATGTAACATCATCACTTTGTCACTTTTGTTTTTAACAATTTTATGCATGTTTGCTGAATACAAGTGTTACTTCTTTTTAAAAAATCTTACTGGTCCCAATCTTTTGAATGGTAGTGTAAATACTGTATATGTTATACTATGCATACTGAATATTATGCATACTGAAATGACCTATAGTTATGTGTATATTAACATATAAAGTGTTCTTTCTTTCTTTCTTTCCCACTCATGTCCAGGTGTGAAAAATGCAGATGAGGCAGAGTTGAGGCAGGTGGCGTCTGAACCGCTGGAGCTAAATGTGTATAATGTGAATGATTTTCCTCTGCTCAGTAAACTGGTGGGAAGACTAGCACGCATCCTCTGTGGCAAGATTGAAGACCGTATTAAAGTGAAGAGTAGGTCAATCACACACACATTAGCCTTCATTATATTGATCTGACAGGTTTCTACCACATAACCCCATTAAAACAAAACGGTATGTGTCTTTTGCGAGAAGGAATAGAGCGTCCCACTCAGGACCCAGTTCTGTCCTATCCCAGCCCAACTGATCTGCAGTATGTAGGACTAGGCTCGAGAGAGGTGCGCCTGCGTTGGACCATCCCCAGCAAAAGACATAAATTAGATCAGAAAAACAGATGGCTGCTTCTCATGTTTAAAATAACAACCTAAAGTGACGTGTGTAACCAAGTGGTTACACATACTTGGAATTTCGCTCTGCATTTTACCAATCCAAGTGCACACACATACAGCAGTGAGTAGTGATTGAATACACACACACACACACACACACACCATGAACACACTCCTAGCGCAGTGGGCAGCCATTTTTGCTGCAGTGCCCAGGGAGCAATTGGGAGTATTGTGGGTGCAAGAGAGCGCTGTTCATTCACTTCCCGCACCGACATTTCCTGACGGTACTGATAACTGAACCCATGATCTTCCTTTTTGTTCCTCAAAGATAAAAATAACATGAAACTTGAATGGAAACTGTCAGCCAGTATATGGTAGTAAAATGTCTACACCAACTGCTCTGGACACAAATGCTGCAGCTCTTTTGAAAGAAGGACTTTTGCGAACCCTTTTGTGACTGACATAAAATAATCACTGAATCATTTTGAAGCAATTCATTGACATGAACTGGAACTGATTCATAATGCAGTAATAACAAAATAGCATTTTTTACTTTTCAAACTCCCATGCTCAGCTCTTGACCCTGTCATACACCCTCTAACTCAGAAGTTGAGTTTCTTGCCACACCAAATCAAATTGAGTCCCATGCAGACCTCTTTCTCTAAGTTTTATGCTCATTCCCTTTGTTCTTTCACTCGTCTGTCTGTTTTTTTTCAGTTCCATTGCCGTCTCCTCTCAGTTTGCAGTTTCCCATGTTCAGTCACAGCACTCTGAAGATCACGTGGGTCCCTGGAGCTGTCGATGTTCCTGCACACCGCATCATCTACAGCACCAATCACGGCAGTGACGTCAAGCAGGTGAGAAGATCCCAGAAGTCACTTGTTAGGTTTTTGATGTTCCACCAAAACCTCTGAGTCTTCTTTCTTGTCACATTTTAGTAATACTTGTACAGCTTGTTACACTACTGTTCAAAAACTTGAGAAATAAATACTTTTATTTAGCAATGACCAGTGCTTGAAGTGGGCCGGTACGCACTGGTACGCAGTACCGGCACTTCAATATTTTAGTCTTTAGCGTACTGCCACTTTTTCGTGCGTACCGGCACTTATTTTTTTCCACTTCAAGCACTGGCAATGACTCATTAAATTGATCAAAAGGGATGTTAAAGACTTTAATAATGTTTCCATTACAAATAAATGCTAATCTTTTGAATGTCCTATTCATCAAAGAATTCTAAAAAAAAAGTATCACAGTTTCCACAAAAATATTAAGCAGCACAACTGTTTTGAACATTGATGATAATAATAAATGCACCAAATCAGCATATTTGAATGATTTCTGAAGGTTCATGTGACACTGAAGACTGGAGTAATGGCTGCTGAAAATTCAGCTTTGCATCACAGGAATAAATTACATTTTAAAATAGATTCAAATAGAAAACAGTTGTTTTTAAATTGTAATACAATTTCACAATATTACTGCAATTTTCGATCAGATAAATGCAGCCTTGGTGAGAAAAAGAGACTTCTTTCAAATCCATTAACAAAACTTAACAACTCCAAACCTTTGAGCAGTATTGTATGTCTCATTTATTCTCTCTGTTTCTCAGGTGGAGGTCAAAGGTGTGAACACAGTGTTGCTACAGAATCTGTCTTCCCTCTCCAGGTATCTGGTGTCAGTGCAGTCTCTCTACGAAAAGGGCCTGTCCACTCCTATCACAGCCAATGTCACTACCTGTAAGTTACACACATTTTTTTAATGTTTTATTTTGTTACTCCAATTTGGAAGATGTTGTTGATCTGCTCTTTGATCTTCTAGTAAGGGTCCCAGCTCCCTCAGATCTGAGAGTCACTAACTTCTCTAGCAGTGACTTAACAGTGCGATGGGAAGCTGCAGCAGATGACGTGGTCTCCTATCTCATCAAATGGATCTCTCTCAGTGAAGGAGACCTCAGACAGGTTAGATCCAACTCTTTCACTTCCTGTGTTATGTCTGTGCAGTCAATACTGATTGAAATAGCTACATAAATTTGTGCTTTAGCCTGTATAATAAGGTAATAATAAGTGGTAATTCATGGACATATTGCAGTTGACAGTAGATGGGGAGAGTGAGGGGGCAATCTTGGAAGAGGTTGAAGAAGATAAGGAATATCAGATTTCACTCTCTGCATTATATGCCGATGGTGCTCAGAGTGAGGCTGTGGCCATACGATACAGCACCTGTGAGTATATGCACTTATATAAGCACGTGATACCTTTGATTACAACACATGAATAACTGTTGCATTTTTTGTGCTGCTTTAGTATCTGGAGGCGGTCCGAGCAGTTTATCCATTTCAGAGGAGACAGCAGTCAGTATGCTGGTCACCTGGGTTCACCCCAACTCTCATGTGCTGCAGTACCGTGTGTCATACACTCCACTTAATGGGGATGTGAGGGAAAACACAGTGAGTGCTTTTAGAAGAGTGAAACCTCTTATTTTGTATTGCCTGTGTGTATTTGAATTGTCTTATCTCTATCTATGTGCCCTATAGATTCCATTTTTAGGGACCATAGAGACTTGGGTAGCCTACTTGAGCTATTATGGCAACCACCCAGAACCATTTAGAAAAAAGGCATTTAAAACCACTCAGGCCACTTTAGCAACCGCATTGCAATAGCTTGACAACCACCCACAACACCTGAAGATTGTGGCATTGACTTATGAATGGGCAAACACCAGTCGTATTTCTTCAGACAACGTAAATATCTAGTTTTCACCAAATAAATGAAAACATATGATAACTGAAATAAAAACATAACTGGAAAAAAAACTTTAAATTACAAAACAATTCAGTGACTCTCAAATTAATAAAATAACAATGACCTCAAAATCAAGCTGATCACTCAATCTTGATAGTGATAACACTAGATGGCCCTGAGAAATGTAACACTGCTATATATTAATTTATTATTATATTATAATATTGATATCACACCATATGATATCACACCATTCAAAAGTTTTAAGATTAAAAAAAAAGAAAATAAAAAGGATGCATTAAACTGATCAAAAGTGACAGTAAGGATATAGTAATATTTATATTTATATTTCAAACAAATGCTGTTCTTTTGAACTTTCTATTGATCAAAGAATCCTGAATAAAATGTATCACAGTTTTCACAAAAATATTAGACAGCACAACTGTTTTCAACATTGATAATAAGAAATGTTTCTTTAGCACCAAATCATCCTATATTTATTTCCGCTGAAAATTCAGCGTTGCATCACAGGAATAAATTACATTTTAAAATATATTAAAATAGAAAATGACAAAAAAAGAAAAGAAAACTGAACTAACGGATAAAATGAAAATCGAAATAAAAACTCAATTCAAAACTATAATAACCCTGGAGCATCTCACTATTGCTTAATATGTTTGCTGTGTTTTAAATGAGGTGAGGTTTAATGTTGTCATGTTGGTTAAATAGGTGTCATTGCCAGGCAGCGAGAGGCACGTCCTGCTGCAGAATCTGCTGCCTGACACTCGTTACAGTGTGCTGGTGACTGCTGAGTACCGCAACCGAGAGGGTGGCAGCGCCTCAGCCCAGGGGAAGACCAGTGAGTCTCTCACACACACACACACATCAATACAGTATCTCTAGTGTGTGCTGACCAAGTATATACTTTCCACTTGACACTGCACTGCCAGAATGTGTCTTGTATTTAATCTCCTCTCTGCACAACCAGCTAGCCTGCGGGTGAGCAGTGTGAGTGTGGTGCGGTCTGACCACTCCAGTATATGTGTGTCCTGGAGGCCCGTACCAGCTGTCAGTGGTTATCGCATAGTCATCCAGGCTCTCAGAGGTACCAGCTCTGAAATAAAGCATCATTAACTGTTTTTTGGAAAAAGTTGAACAGGCAGTTTGTTTTGGGTCATTTATTTCTCTCTCTCTCTCTCTCTCTCTCTCTCTCTATGTTTGTGCTCAGATAAACAGACTAAGGAAGACAAAGTAGATGCTGCTAGCAGCAGCCACTGTTTCTCTGAGTTGCAGCCTGAAACGATCTACCGCATCAGTGTGCACTCCCATCTGGGAACAGTAGAGGGCCCTGCGGTCACTATCCTTCACCCTACAGGTCAGAATCCTGTTGGAGACATACTTCAGCCTAAAAAATATCTGATGTTATGTTTTGCTCAATTGTAATAGCATGTAATTCTCTTATAAAGCAACTGCTCCAGTGAGAATCCAGGTTCCTCCTCAACTGCATCCCATACAAAGAGAAGGTAAGAGTTGCAACAGTTAAGGCCTGTTCACACCAAACACAAATATTTCCATGAATATTCAGCGTGACCAAGATTTTGAAACAATGCGCTTTTTTCATCTATTCATACCAAATAAATTAATTTGACAACAGAGCAAAGCTGTTTTTCTTTGGTGAGTGGATCGATTCTTCATTCAGCAATGTAAACGTAAATGAACTGAAAGCAATTCGCTTTGCTTTTCTACTTCACTTCTGGTGTGAACAGCCCTTTACGCTGCTTGTGGTAAAAACAGCTTTCTTCAAAGATAACATGGTGACTTTCTTTCCTTCTCAGTGTGTCCTGAGACAACAATCAGAAATCATGTGGTTAAAGGTATGGTCATATTTACATTTTACACTTATGCATTTGGCAGATGTTTTATCTAAAATTACTTAAATGGAATTTTAGGTGTACATATGTTCAATTCATGCATTCCCTGGGAATCAAATCAACGACCTTGGCATATGTCAGACATTGTATCAGACATGGGCATGCTCTACTTTTGAGCAAAGTTTTGCAGAGTAATAACCAAGATTATAGCCTACTACTTTTCTAAGAGAACAACATTGTGCCACTGCACGGCTCAACAGCAAGAATTGTTCTGTTTGCCCAGTCAAGCCAATACTTCATAATTTCACTGGTGCCCAACACACACAAATTATATATTGAAGAATTAAATGTTTGATGATATATTTTCATTTATATATTTTTTATTTCTTATTTTAATACATTTATAATTTAATATTATAAATGTATTTAAAAAATGTATAATAGTTATTTTGAGCCCTGTACCATGAACATGAATTTGTGTGTGTTTTCTAGGCTTTGACATGATGGAAGCATTCGGTCTAACTCAGAGAGCTCACTCTACTATCGAGGGTGTGGCAGCTGAACCTTTCATCTTCAGCACCTTACCCAGTTACACCCTCTACAGAGATGTACAGCTGACCCAGAGCACAAGGTGAGAAACACAAAACACACACATGCACATATTATTAAACAGCTGTTACACCCTTCATTCAGTGCTCACACCCTGTCTGTCTGTCTATCTCAGCTTCATCCACCCGGCTGGCTTTTCTCCAGAACACACCATCAGCACGGCCTTCAGGCTCTTGCAGGATTCACCCAGGGAGCCCTTTGCACTCTGGCAGCTCACGGACAATGACTTCCAGCCCAAGATGGGGGTGGTGCTGGACCGTGAGTGCCTGGACATTTCTGTAGATAAAATTCTAGAATGGCTCCAATTCAGTAGCAGGGCTATTGAATTGTAAATCCCAAGTTCATTAGATCCTTATTCTCTGTTCTGTCATTTAGCTGAGAAGAAGGTTCTGCTGTATTTCAGTCTGGACTACAGAGGAGAGATACAAGAACTGACCTTTGACCAGCCACAAGTCCACTCAGTTTTCTATGGCAGCTTTCATAAGGTTTGTGTGAAAGGTTTTTTGGTTACTGTCGATCAGTCAGACAAGCTTTACAGAATGTCCCATAGGAATGAACTGGAGATTTTCAACAATGATAGTTATTATTTGTATGTATCAGCCATTTCACTTTAAAAATGTAATCACAATGTAGGCAAACACTTCTCAACATCAGCTTAAAAGAGAAAAACCTCATTTGAAAGTTTACATTTTTATATATATATATGTATATATATATATATATATATATTTTTTTTTTTCAGTGTATTTTGGAGAATATCCATATAATAGTTTAAAAACGGTTTAAAAATTGTTTCCAAAAACACAGATCCTCTAGCAACAGTTTCTAGGAAAGGATTGGTCAGTAATGTTTTACAACAGGGCTTAGCAGAGAATCAGTTGAGTACTTTGAGTGAAGGAAGAAAAGAAATACGACATTTAAACTGCCACTGATTCTTCTCATCTCTTTAACTGATTGGCAGATCCATTTGTCCGTCAGTCAGGTGAGTGTATCTCTGTCTGTAGACTGCCAGCGGGTTGGCGAGAGGCCCGCACGCCCCCTGGGAACTTTGCCCACTGATGGTTTTGAGATGTTGGGCAAACTAGTGAGGACACGTGGACCTCACAGCGGATCTGCGGCTGTGAGTCTCACTTCATGACCAGAAACATACTGTGAACAGTAATGTATATACTGTATACATATTAAGGCATATTGTATTTTTCTCTAGTTTCAGCTGCAGTCCTTTGAGATTGTGTGCAACACTACTTGGGTATCAGAAGACAACTGCTGTGATCTGCCCTCACAGGTACATGATCAGTCTAGGTTGAGTTGACATATCAATATGGATGGCACTGAATAACATTAAGTAGTGCAGGATGTCTTATTTTAAGTGTCACTCTCTGTTCTCTAGAGAGATGAGGAGAGCTGTCCTGCCCCTGCTTATGCATGCACCTGCACCACCGACGTCCCTGGAGCACCTGGAGACACTGGGCCACCTGTGAGACTACAGTGCTGGATTTTTAAACTGACACAAACATTAGGAAGCTTGTGAAATCATTTTAGTAGTTGTTGAAATAATCAGTGTTATGATAATTATTGGTGTAATGATACGTTTATATTCAGGGGAGACCTGGCCCTCGTGGGGAGAAGGGAGAAAAAGGAGAGGTGGGACAAAAGGTAAGGAAACTTGCATGCAAAGTTGGGTTTGAACCTACAGCCATTATGTTAACCACTAATTTTAAAATGTAAACATTTAAACAATTTAAAAGTAACTGTTTTCAATTTGAATATATTTTAAATATATAATTTATTCCTGTGATGGCAAAGCTGAATTTTCAACAGCCATTACTCCAGTCTTCAGTATCACATGATCCTTGAGAAATCTTTCTAATATGTTGATTTGCTGCTCAAGAAACATTCCTTCTTATTATTAATGTTCAAAAAAGTCATGTTGCTTAATATTTTTGTGGAAACCATGATACATGTTTCAGGATTCTTTGATGAAAAGAATGTTTAAAATGTCTTTACTGTCACTTTTGTTTCTGTTTCTGTCCCTTTTGTGCATCTCTCCAGGGAGAGGTGGGTCCACCTGGTAAATCGGGCCCTGAGGGCGGCTTTGGCGCTCTTGGACCCTCTGGTCCTCGGGGAATAACTGTAATGGGCAAAGTGGTATGCCTACACTTGTTCTACAGAAAAGATGTAATGTATATTAGCATTTGGAACAGATTTAAACCCTCTTTCTTTGTCTTAATAAGGGCCCACCAGGAGCAAGAGGGGAAAAAGGAGATATTGGAAGGCCTGGGAGCCAGGTAAGCTTCAAAATCCATCTTATAGGCCATGGTTATAGCTGATCATAGTAGTGTTTTTTTTCCTCTGGAATATCTCACATTTTCTGCACTTTGTGTTCATAGGGTTTACCAGGGCCTCCTGGTCCAAAAGGTGAAGAGGGCATGGCTGGTCCTAAGGCAAGTCTCTGTGTGGTTTGAGGCAGTTATTGTCCTATTTGTGTTTGAAATGTTCAGTCTGTCATTCATCTTTGTGTCAATAAATTGCCCACAGGGCACCAGAGGAATGGAGGGTAATATCGGTAGCCCAGGAATCCCAGGACCAAGAGTAAGACAGCCATACTTATATGCATTCAAGGAGTATCTCATACTGTACATGCTTTCACTGTACTCTTTTTTTTTTTACATTTCTGTGTCTACACTTTGTAGGGTTTCCAGGGTATGCCTGGTCATCCAGGGCCAGTGGGAGAGAGAGGGCCATTAGGTTCTGTAGGGCCCACAGTGAGTAAAATTGTGCTGTATTACTCTTTCATCCATACATTCCAGCCAAGATAGATGTCCAGAAAGCATTTGATATATTTGAAAACATTTGGATAGAAATTGGCTAATGTTAAGTAGATGTTCCAGATTTTATTTTCCTCTTTCATAGGGTCTTTCTGGAAGTAAGGGTGAGAGAGGAGAGAAGGTGGGTTACAAAATGACATCTTTGCTATATGCAAACCTTAAAATGGATTTTGTTTGTTTTAATAGTTCTTCTGTTTATTAGGGTGAGCCACAGTCTCTTGCCATGATCTACCAGCTTGTTACACAGGCCTGCGAAAAACTTGTGCACAGTAAGTTGTATATTCACTACATCCATTTTAATTAAGTCACAGTAAATGCAGAATTTAAAAGCATCTTTAATGGGAATCTTGGCCTGAGTAACGGCATATCAGTTCTAATAAACTGTTCTAGATGAAGTCCTGAAGTTGGATGCTTTTCTGAACGAGATGAATCGAAAGCCAGTGCCCATCCAGGAACCAGTAGCACCACCAGGAGAGCCTGGGATACCAGGGGGAAGGGGGCCACCTGGATCCCGAGGCCCTCAGGGTCGACAAGGAAGCAGAGGAGAGTCTGGGAAACCAGGGTACCCTGGTGAGCAGGGTAAGCCTTGACACTTTCATTTCTTTGGAGATGCAATCTCCTAGGCAAACACCACATCTGATGGTTGCCATTAGATACATTAGTGTTTTTATTGAAATTCTGTATTAAGTTATGTAAATAGTTCTGTGATTCACTTATAGGACGCAGAGGGATGTCTGGTGAGAAGGGCTCTCCAGGAGCAAATGTGGTGGGACCACAAGGAATAAAAGGTTTTGCAGGTATTGAAACATATTTGTGTATCCCACAGCTGTGTTTGTAATTTTTAAAGGGGTCTCCATTATTTATATTATCAAATTTAGGTTTATTTAGCAAAAGTATCAAAAACATTGCAAATATATATTTTTAATTAGTATTTTTGTCTTGTTTTCAAATAAAATATCTAAAAAACTCGTTTGAAACAAGATAAATTTACCTGAGAGACACAATAAAGTAGTAAAGGAGTCTCTGCTGCTCACCAAGGCTGCATTTATTTGATCAAAAAATACAACAAAAACTAATTTGTAACTGTGATACACTTTTTTTCAGGGTTCTGTGATGAATAGAAAGTTCATAGTTCAGAACTCTTTTCAAAAGTGTCTTTACTGTCACTTTTGATCAATTTAATGCACCCGTGCTGAATAAAAGTATTTTTCTTTTTAAAAAAATCTTACTGACCTCAAACTTTTGAGCAGTTGTGTATATCTTGAATTATTATTTTTTTTACATCACTGGCATATTGTTTTTATTTGTCTTTGATTAAAACCCTAATCAAATTTAGTGAATTTATGATTAAAACATGAAAAACTATGCACAATAGGGATTTGAAAAATATATTTTTTCTATATAAGTGTCTTTACTGTCACTTTTGATCAATTTAATGCACCCGTGCTGAATAAAAGTATTTTTCTTTTTAAAAAAATCTTACTGACCTCAAACTTTTGAGCAGTTGTGTATATCTTGAATTATTATTTTTTTTTACATCACTGGCATATTGTTTTTATTTGTCTTTGATTAAAACCCTAATCAAATTTAGTGAATGTATGATTAAAACATGAAAAACTATGCACAATAGGGATTTGAAAAATATATTTTTTCTATATTTTTTTTTTCTGAAAATTATTCCTGTTATTTTATATACATTTTCTTTTACACAAACCCAAATGATATCTTGTAATGATTTGTTAAGTGTTAATTGCACCACTATTTATTTCTACTTCACCAGGACCTCCAGGTGAAAGTAAAATAGGGGAACCAGGTCCCAAAGGTGAGGATGGTAAAGCAGGACCTCTAGGTATTCCAGGAGCTTCAGGTCAGCAAGGAGAAATTGGACCCCCTGGTATATGTGACAGCAGTGGATGTTATCAAGGACCCCCAGCTGCAGGTAAAGCAATGTGTCATTGTGACCACAATAAAAAACAGTGCAAGTTCATGTCTGACCTGTGGGTAAAATTACTGTTCATATCATTTTTCAGAGGATCCCTACCTTGGATACCAGCCTTGAGTTGAGAAGTTACTGTTTTACTGCAGCACTGCCAGAATAATCTCTCTGCCCAGACTTCGTAGAAAGACACTGTGTGACTTAATGGATGGAGATTCTGCCAGACGCTGACTTTGAATGAGCCTGCTGATGGACTCTTTTGACTATATTTTCTCCTTGTGGTAGTTGATCTCAGCTCAATGCTTCCATTCTGAGATCACCAAAGCACTGTGACCCTGTCTTTTACCCAGCATTCAACCTGATCTACTGCTACGAGACTACAGTAGATTCATGTGCAGAACTTTTTGTGCAGCACAGAGGAAATCACAACACACTCAGACTCTATTTTACAGAGATATTTTGGTATCCAGACAAGGAACTAGTGTATTACCGAACAACTGCTAAAATCCGCACTAAGACTGTTTCTAATATTTTACTTTAAGTATTTTATTGTATTTAATGCACTGTATGGGTTTTAAATTTATATTGTTGAAGGCATATTACTTTCAATGTTCTCCATTCATGTTTCTTGACCTCTTTGTTTTTTGTATCAAGTGTTTTGTTTAAAAATATGAAATAAGCAAAGTTTTGCAAGAGCAATACAGATGTTAATATGAAATACACTGTGATATTATATTAATTGTCTTTATACATATGCAGAAGTGCTGTCCATAGTATTTTATTGGATTATACCAAGTGAACTGGTCTTTTGTTTTTGTGTTAATACATGTAAACGTGTCTGAAATGAAACTGTTAAAGATAAAAAAACAGTTGACTCACCTGAGATCCGTCATGCTGCGTCAATGAAATGGTTGCTATTCACATTCACTGAAAAACATTAAGAAATAATGTATAAAAAAAGATAACTGCTGTTTACAAGAATACCATTTTCACAAGCATAATTTTAGTATGTAATAACAGCAGTGAAATCACTCATAACGTGGCATCATTTTCATCAATCTTTCAAAAGCAAACTTTTTTTTTGATGTAATATAGTTTCAGATGCCTTGCTGGACCTATTAAATCAACAATACAATCCGAGTATTTCATTGGGGAAACCTTTTAGTTCAATGTAAATGGCATGCCAGTGCAATGAATACAACTTTTCATCGTTATAATTGCCGCAACCTGCAAATAAGTTATTTTCCCATTATTATTATTATTTTTTCTGGGTGTGCCCATAATAGGGTTAATTACTATTGTAATGTTGGAGTCTGAAGACTTTATCCCAATGTGCAGTGTATCTAACATGCAACTTTCCTGTAAATTGAAGCGATTAAACCTAGGGTTTTGCGACTAAATTGTATTGTACTGACACATTGCGCTACTATTGTACAACTGTCCAAAACAATTGTTGGATGATCTCAGTATTTGAACTGGTGAAATATGTGCTCCGGAACCAAAGGATGGCGCTAGTGATTTCTACGGACAACGTACCTGATGTAAACATCCGGTGTTTATTACGTCGGAGACATGGCGAGCAGGAGAGGTAATGCGAAGACCGGGGAGCAGGCTGACAAATATTCTGTTCTGCTGCCAACCTACAACGAGAGAGAAAATCTCCCATTGATTGTGTGGTTGCTGGTGAAGTACTTTGGCGAGAGGCAAGTGTGTTGTTATTTAAAGTCGATGGGTGAGAATCGGAATACAACCAATTGTCAGACTGTAGAGTCCTAATGATGAGCTGTCAGTGACTAAGATGAAGAGTCGCTAAGCTGAACGTAGATATTTCGTTGATTTTAAAAAGAGCGTTCTTATTCAGTTGGCCGTGTTTTAATGCAGTGGATACAACTACGAGATCATAGTGATTGATGATGGCAGTCCAGACGGAACGCTGCAGATCGCCGAGCAGCTGCAGAAGATCTACGGCGCTGACAAGATTGTGAGTTGTGCATTATGATACACACCACATGACTGACAGCTTGTCGAAAGAAATCATGAAAATCTGGCATCTCTCTTCTTTTTTTAGCTCCTGAGACCGCGAGCAAAAAAACTGGGATTAGGTAAATTGGCTCATATTTACTAATACTTCTGATAGCTATAGAAATAGCGTGACTGAGCTTCTTGTCATTTCAGGAACGGCGTACATCCACGGCATTAAACACGCGTCAGGAAACTTCATTATCATTATGGATGCAGATCTCTCGCATCATGTAAATACTCTTCCAGTGTATACTGTTTTGTACCTCCTTGAGTAAATCCTGATATTCATGGTGCCCACGGCCGTGGAAATACTAAGATAGTTTCATATATTTCTCTTGGATGGAGTACAACATGCTAACAAGCTTTATTGATATTGAGAATCATTATTTTGAGTCGGTTCTTTTCAGTGAATTTATGGAAGCTCATTTCTGCCACATAAGAAAAACAAATCTTGCTTTGGTAAACCATAATTATTGAGATAAAAAAAAAGTCCTAATTATATGATTTCAAAATTGTGAGAAGCGGTCATAATTATGAGAAAAAAAGTTGTGATTATGAGATACTAAGTCATTATGATATCAAAAGTCTTAACGACTCCTTAGAGAAATAGTAAATTAATTTTAGAAACCACTGGAAATGTCATGGAAATCAATTTGTTAAAATGTTGGATCGCTTCAAGCATGTTTACTCAAAAGTATCAGGAATTTAAAATGAATCATTTGTTCCTGCTTTCACCAAGTGAAAAACCTTCAGGAGCATTGGGGTACATTAAGTGTTGTTGTTTTTTTCTTCCTCACAGCCAAAGTTTATCCCACAGTTCATTGAGTAAGTCATTTTCTTTCAATTACCTTATGCCTCTACTGTTAAAAGACTTTTTTTATCTGCTCCTTGTTTTGTGTAGTGTAGTTTTACTATAATAGCATTATCATGTGCACTTGTATAGCAGCCACTTTCATGGATTTTTTTATTTGTTCAGAAAACGGAAAGAGGGTGGATATGACCTGGTGTCTGGCACAAGGTACAGAGGGGACGGTGGTGTTTATGGGTGGGATCTGCGCCGGAAACTTATCAGGTATGTGACCGTAAACTTCAGCTGACTACAGGAACTACGTTTTATAATATCCATCTATATTAGAAATTTGAGACTGTCTATTACTGCCATATATACATGCAGTGGGTATAGAAAACAATCACCCCCTTTAAAATAATCAAATTTTGTTGCTTTGCAACCTGAAATGAAGACGGACAGTTTGTTTTATCCAGCTGTATTTACATCCAAGTGAAAGATAAAACACCAACATGTCAGAAAAGAAATACCCCCTTTTGTCAGTATTTTGTTGAACCACCTTTTGCTTTATTTACAGCCTTTATTCTGTTGGGATATGTGTCTGTCTTTACTAACTTTGCACATCTAGACTTTGTGATATTTGCCCACTCTTCTTTGCAGAACTGCTCAAGGTCAGTTAAATTTGATGGTGAGTGTTTGTAGACTGCAGTCTTCAAGTCATTCCACAGATTTTCAATGGGGTTTTTAAGTCTGAGCTCTGACTAGGCCATGCGAGGACATTCATCTTTTTCTCCATCCACTGTGTGCTCAGTTTTGCTGTGTGCTTTGGGTCATTGTCATGTTGGAAGGTAAATATTCTTCCCATTGATAACTTACTGGCAGAGAGCAGCAGATTTTCCTTGAGAATATGACAGTATTTTACCCCATCCATTTTTCCTTCTATCCTGACAAGTGCTCCAGTCCCTGATGCAGAGAAACACCCCCATAACAGGATATGACCACCTCCATGCTTTACTGGAGGAATGCTGTTATTTGGACGGTGAGCTGTATTGAATTTCCGCCAGACATATAATTTGTTGTTGAGGCCAAATAATTTAATTTTAGTCTCATCTACCTCAGAATCTTCAAGGTTCATTTTGGCAAAGCTCAGTCATGACTGCATGTGGCCTTTCTTAAGGAGTGGCTTTTTTCTTGCAGCCCTCCCATACAAGCCACATTTGTGGAGAATTTGTAATATTGTTGTCACATGCACATAATTTCCACTCTGTCATAAATTCCTGCTTCAGAGTTGCCGTAGGCCTCTTGGTAGCCTCTCTGATCAGTTTCCTCCTGGCTCTTTCATTCAGTTTGGAGTGACGTCCTGATCCACGGAGGGTCTGTGTTGTACCAAATACCTTCCACTTCTTAATAATAGACTTCACTGTGCTTCTAGGCATTGATAAAGCCTTTGAATTTTTTTTGTATCCGTCTCCTGACTTGTGCCTGTCCACAACTTTATCCCGGAGATCTTTTGACAGTGCCTTGCCACCCATAGCTGATTGTTTGCTTCAGTTGCACTACCAAGGACTGAAATGCTCCAGGAAAGCTCTTTTCATGCTGAGCAAATCAAAATGACCACAGCTGATCACAGTCGAAAGTCTAATAGCTTGGTGTGCCATTGGGCCTGTTTACACTTGGTCACTTCATGCGTTTTTTCTGATTGGATAGCTATCCGATCATGAAAAGACCAGGTGTAAATGCCCTCCGAGACACATTCGAGACGGATATAAATCCGATCGCTCAAACCACTTCAGGAGGTGGTCTGGGCTGCATTCCAGACGAAACTCGAGAAGTGTAAATGCATCTGGTTGTTGAAACCACATATGTAAATTTTACTCCTCCCAAGATGTTAAAATAATAAATGTGTGAAAGCGTGTTATAGGCTATATGACATTAGCCAGACTGCGCATCGCTGCGGATGAGTAGCTGAGTATCTCTTCAGCAAGCCAACGCGCAAACTGCCACGAATTAAATGGAAAGTACCTAATATGCAGACGGTCAACACACAATCATCTTCATTAAAAGTAGTTAGACAAACTTATCTTTCCAGTGCTGATGCCGCACGCTCTCCTATTGCGGTCTTTGATCTTGAAATGAGCTGATAATTAATAAAATGCAGCGCTTATCTTTTGATTTCGTTGACGTGAACTCCGTTAAGTTTAAATATAGCTCGGGAATTGAAGATCTTATATCTGTTTAGCAACGACACATTTATGTGGCCAAGTGTAAATGGAAATGTTTTAACAAATCAGATAGATATCCGATCAGCGAAAAC